TGGGAACTGAAACAATCTACTAAGAAATACTTCAGACCACATCAATCACCCATCCTTTCGATATATATACATTAAATAGTTCACTTGCAGAGCTTTCAACTTTTCACACATTTCATGGCCAATAGTTCACAGCTTCGATTTCATTCTTCATCGCCTAAAACTGAACAACCCTTTTCGCGAAGAAGATGATGTTGACGATGAAGATCGTGGGAGTTATTTCTTTAATGATGATGACCAATCAACTTCCATTAAACTAGCTATTCCCACAAATAAAATATAATTATGATTAATTTAACGTTCTAGTATATTTGCAAATAAATGTGATAGTTTTTGTTGTTTTGCAAATAAATATATATAAATGTAAATATGTAATAAAAACTATTGTCTAGTGGTGAAGGTAACTAGTATTCGACATGTGCATTTGCACAGATGTAAATAAAGTATTATGAGTTATTTATTCGACCTGTGCATTTGCACAGATGTAAATAAAGTATTATGAGTTATTTATATGCATAAAGTGATTAATAATTTTTCTTGCACTTTTGGTCAGCCAAATTTACATTTAAAAGAGTTGGAATATTTATTTTTTTAAATTGCGTTTATCATATTGGATGTAATGTATATTTCGGTATGTATTTTTTTATGAATTATTTATTATTTATTTAAAGATTTCAAATGTTTTTTATTTTTCAAAAGAAGTTAATTTAATTGTAACCACAACAATAACATCTAATCACGTTAAATAGTCAACACATTATATGGTCAGTTGTAATTAAATCAAAAGATTAAAATTATTTTTGTATTTTGAAGCGATTAGTTTGTTGATTATCTAATAATTAAATGAGAGGTTAAATAAATAAAAAGTAACGATTTTTGGAGGGAAAAGCTATATTGCCACATAGGTATAATTTAATAGGTTTAATTTAATGCTCATATGCTAGCAATTATATATATATAGATTTCTTCTTTAACTGTTTACAACAAGTTTGACATATGGGGATGAACGAAAAAGGTCAAAAGTGAGTGAGAAATGTTATAGGTACATCATACATAGTGGTGTACATAACACTCACATTGAGTGAGACCCACCAAAAATTAAAAATCAAATGAACTTCAATCCATGTGACTGTTATGTATATCTCTATGTACACTTATTATTTACTTGTAGCATTTTCTTTAGTAATATTATACACCAATATTACAATTCAAACACAAATACTTGAAGTACCAGAACTCAATGGTCAAACGGATTGATTATCCAACCATTTGCCCGTGATGAAAATTCTTTCATACATTTTTAGCACAATTATTAACTTTGACAATTTTCAATTTCCTACCATTATAAATCCACTCGATCCCATGTAAATTTCAGCTGAAAAAGAGTACTCAACATAAGTTCAACTCATCGCTCTTTCTATACACTCGACTGTTGTCAAAAAAGCTCTTCAAGATTCCCGAGCCCTATGACGAACCAAACACAAAAGAAAAGACTCAAAGCTCTAGGTAGACTAGCCTTGACGATTAAGAGCACCAGCAATCACATTCCGTGCCTCGGTACAAAGCTCGTCCGGGTTATTTCCGCCTATGGGTGGGTGCACTATAACTTTCACGGATCCTGGATTTAATATTCCTTCCCTTCCAGCAGGCATGATATCACCCGTGCCAATGAGCGCGATAGGGATAACGGGTACTCCAGTTTTTGAAGCTACGCTAAATGCGCCTTTCTACATAATAATCAGCCGTGCATGATCATACTGACTTGTTGGGAAAGCAGTTCAATATATGGTAGTAAAAAATATTAAATAACGCATCACTGGGCAGTCACGTTGCAACCTCCGAGTTTTAATCAAACTACTAATAGGAAAGCCACTTGTACCAAAAGTTATGATAGTTTCCAGTAATATATATTATGATGAAGAGAAAAATCTTTCTGTAAGATGAAAACTCGTATCAGGAAGGTATTGGTGATTTTAAAAAATAAACAGATTCATCTTTAATAAGGGTATGAGTCAATTTTTGCAATTAACCATATATAACAGTAAGCAGCACCTAGAAAATAAATTAAAGTATAATATTACCACTAATATAATATCCGTGTATTACACGGGTGCTTGTTGACAATTAAAAAAAAAAAAAATGTTTCAAGTTTCAGTTCTTTTTTGAAAATCTATATTATTATTTATATTTAAAATGACACCAGTCACTTATGCGACTTACCATCTTATATTGGAATAATCATTTTAACTTGTATCATATAACTATTAGTTTCAATAATTTTATTTTTTTCAAATTAATATTAGTAGGTACTTTAATATTTATTATAAAGAAAATATATTTATTTATTTATTTTGTATGTATATCATATATGTCAAATCGAAGCTCATCAAGAAATGATTGATTTGATATACTATATATAAAAAAATTTATAATAAATAAATTTTTTACTAAAGTTTAAATATATTTATAATTTAAGTTAGCAAACCTTTTACAATATTAAAATAAAGATGAGGAAAAAAGAAAGATTAGGAAAGAGAATTATGCCTTATAATCGACGTATATAATAGGAAATGGTATTAAAATATAATTAATGCTATTAAAAAGTTTCATAAATATAATATTCCAAGCCTAGTTATTTTTTGATTCGAAGTAAATTAAAATTTATTCAAAAAAAGTTTGAAACTTTGCCACATGGAATGAGAACCTGCTACTAAGGCTCAGCACATTTGGGATGGGATAATTTGACAATTATGGTTTGTGTCCTGACTATATATACGAGGGGCATCTTCCTCGTGACATGGTCAGGAAAGGGAAAAAGAAAAACCATAAAAACAATTTAAGGTTTTAAGAGAACTAAAATGTTCATACTGTCATTTTTAACAAAACGGTTTATGGTTTTAAGATCTGTGCCAAGTTAAATTGTGGTTGCCAATCAAGTTAACAAATGATCTCCCTGAGCACCAATATACAAGACAAACAAGGATGGAAATAGAAATCCCACCTTAAAAGTACCCAATTTGCCATCTTTACTCCGAGTGCCCTCCGGAAAGAAGAAAACCGATGCCCCCTTCTTGATCAGAGTAATGCACTGCTTAAGGCAGTCCTACATAAGAAGCAGGAAATAAACTAAGAAAGCTATACAGTACTCCTAATCTTATTCCATAAATGCTACGCTACATAAGGATTATGAAGCAAAACAAGAACTAGTTTAACAAGTATAAATAAAATTAAAAGATCAAGAAGAATCAGTACCAACTGACTCCTGCTATCCATGCGCTTCAGAGGAATCACGCCCAGCAGAAACATGGCCCACCCGATTATTGGGTAGAGAAAAATTGAAGTTTTGCTGATAAATTTGAAGCTTCTCCCAAGAGTCAGTAGAGTATATATATCTAGAAAGCTCTGGTGGTTTGAGACATAAATCGCAGGTGTATCTATTGAGGGCAGATTTTCCATTCCCTCGTATTTGATCTTCATAAACGGGGCCACCGTCAGAAAAGCCCACGTTTTGGCAACAAGATAATGTGCTTTTCTACGGTACCGGTCAAACATGAGGACAAAAGGATGCTGTAGAAGCATTGGCACGAACAAAACGACGGCAGCAAAGGCAGTTGCAGCATAGAAGCAAATTCCTCTCACCTTTGAATTCAACCAAATTTCTGAATTAAAGATTATAATGTAATGAGTGGCTTCGGTAACAAACAAGAAAATAGAACCAGACCAGGCTAATAGTGTACCTGACAGTGGATATGAAGCTCCTGACGATCCTGTGAGTTCAGACCTGGCAACTATGTCCCTTGAACTTTTTCTGCTTTTTTTACAGCTTTCGCAAATATCGAGAATTCTACCGGGATCCTCTTTTTGGTAAAACGCTCTCCGAGTTGGAAAACAATCTGGTCTTGAACAACACAATATTTTGAGTGGCGGGATGTCTGCATATACAGAACGAAAAATGCAAACCAACTAAAAACAATTTAAAGAAATTGATGAATGCTATGTGTAGTCCTTCAAATTGTCACGCAAGAAAAGAGTTAAGTACACAATCTACAGATTTTTTGTTAGAGTAGATTATTGGCCAACATACAAGCACTTGTGCAAATTTATAAAGTGAACACTATGATGTGATTCTCAGTTATCTAGTAACCGAACCACATCCAATTAGCATTCAAAAAACAAATATGAAAAGCATGCCTGCCATCACACTTCCATCTTATGCAATACACTTGTAACAAATTCAACATTCTCAGTCGCCAATCACAATCAATCCTTATTTCATAAACAAAAAATCACGTCAACTGTCAGTAAAATTCTATTTAAAAACCAGTCCCTCTAGAACTTACAGTTCTCTTCCCTAAACAACTTTTCGCCACTACTCTCTTTCAAATGACATACAAGGTGATATCCCTTGGTGTATGCTCTTTGCTGATGATGTGGTGCTAGTTGACGAGAGTAGGGCAAGGGTAAATAGGAAGTTAGAGCTGTAGAAGGACACGTTAGAGTCGAAAGGCTTCAGACTTACTAGGACGAAGACCGAGTACATGACGTGCGCTTTCAGCATGGCTACACACGATGATGGTGACGTTAGCCTTGACGGGCAAGTGGTGGCCAAGAAGGAGACTTTCCGGTATTTGGGATCGATGCTACAAAAGGATGGCGGCATTGATGAAGATGTTAGGCATAGAATTGCAGCATGTTGGTTGAAGTGGCGTCAAGATTCAGGCGTTCTCTGTGATAAGAGGGTGCCACAATGGCTAAAAGGTAAGTTTTATAGGACGGCGATTCGCCCGGCGATGCTATACGGTGTTGAATGTTGGCCTACAAAAAGGCAACATATCCAACAACTAAGTGTAGCAGAGATGCGTATGTTGCGTTGGTTTTGCGGGCACACAAGAAGGGATAGAATCCGGAATAAGGATATTAAAGATAGGGTCGGGGTGGCTCCAATTGAGGAGAAATTGGTTCAACATCGGCTGAGGTGGTTCGGACATGTCCAACGGAGGCCTCTTGATGCACTGGTGCGTAGGGGAGTTTTACAGCAGGTCGATGATGTTAAGAGAGGTAGAGGTCGGCCTAAACTCACTTGAGAAGAGTCGGTTCATAGAGATCTTAAAGATTGAAATATCTCCAAGGATTTAGCGGTGGATAGGAGCACTTGGAGGCTAACAATCAACGTGCCGAAACCGTGACTTTTGCTCCTTTCTCTTTTGCTCCAATCTCTTCCTTTTGTTTTGAGCCCTTTTTGTGTTTCTTTTACCATTGTTTCTCTTGGTTTCATCTCTAGCCTACCCCAGCTTGCTTGGGACTAAAAGGCTATGTTGTTGTTGTGTCTCTTTGAAATGAAAAATAAACAACCTTTCGCTACTACTCGCTTTCAAATGGAAAATTGGACAGTACAAAAGAGGTGTAATCACACCCCTAATTGCAAACTGAGTACATGTACCACCCGATTCTGATTCATCAATATTTCTCTAAATTATACCAGGACAAAATCATAGTGACATACTTCACATTTGAGTTACAGCAACCACAGTGAAATGGCGCAATGAACAATTAAGATTAGGATCCAAGAGATAAAGGGATGCAAGAACACCTTCACAGGAAGAGCAAGCTTTTTTGCTTCCACGTAATCTTCACAAGTGAAAACTTTGCCACAACTTTCATGTGATCAGATTAGGCACATGTCAACAGCTAAACTCTAAACTCGGTTCATTTAAGAAATAATAATAGCTGATAAGCATCCTTGTTTTTATAACCAAATTCTTGTATAGAACTCCTGACCAAAACAGATAGAAAGCCCTACAGCACTTACATAACACAGCGTTTAAGGTTGGATCATATTTCAAACAAAAATGGAATCTGCAAAATAAGAAATATGCTCTCACCTACAAGCTTTATAATCATAAAAATAAGTTCTTGCATCAAAGCATGAAGTACTCCTAATACGTAGCAGGAACAAAATTCCAACATCCAACATTCCAAAATATGACGCAGATAAGAGAGCCACTAGAGTTTTTCTTGAACAAAATGAAATAATGAAGAATAAATCTAGCGCATACACTAAGCTTATTTTCACCAACAAGAACTGAAAGAAAATTACAGTGGGGGCAATGATAAGCATTGGGGGGAACTGGAAAAAAGGATGATGAAAACAGCAAAGCGGAAAAAGATCATTTTTGCTATACAGTATCTAATTTAAGATATAATTTCTAATAATTAATTCAGGATTCAGGAAATGTAAAGTAAACCTCTGAAAAAAAAAATATATATGAAAACAAATTCACTCACGGTTTCTTGAATATCTCTGCACCGGCTGTTTGCGAGGGCAGCAGCTAAAATGAAATCCATTATGCGAGGCCAACTGTTCACAACAATATTCAGCAGTAGAGTATAAGTAATACTGTGCGGAATAAAAATGTTGATCTCGGCAGCATGCATCTTCTTTGAAGTATAACTGGTAAACAGAATATGTTATCATTATTTTACTAGCATAAATTGCTCTTATTCCACGATTTCTTCTAAATTAGACATGTTTCATATTGACACACACCTCCTCAAAATTAGACACACTTCTTACCAAATCCTTAAACAACCGCAAATGACTCACACAAAATCCCAAACATATCATTGCTAAAACAAAAAATGACTTCAAGGCTTATAGCAAAAAGTTTACTTATTACTTAAGAAGCGTAAACACATATTTTTAGATGAACCGTAGTAGAAATTTACTTCATGCTCAATTTTTTTTTTTTAACAAAGAAGCAGACAACATCAAGGTTGCCATGAAAGACCAAAACAACTAAATATAATGATTACGCTTATTCATCAATTACAAATGTGTATCTTGGAGTAACTACCAAAAGAAGCACCATAAGATTAAAATAATACAATGATTAGGCTTATTTTTTGAACATGATCAGGCTTATTTTAATTTCATCAAAAACACACTAACAAATCTTGTTCAAACATAAACAACCACATGATACCAAATACCTAAACTCCATCGAAACGCCAGAAAAAAAAAAAAAAAAAAAAAAAAACACAGTTTTGTAAAGAAATCACAAAACAAAAACACAAAACACAAAGTGGGTTCGAAGATAATTTACTGGTCGACTAAAACGTCCAACGAAAACCCTTTGATCCCTTTTGCCTGCAAAATATCAATGACAAAAAAAAAGACAAATAAAAATAATCTGTAAATAAACAAACTCTTCCAACAATTCACACACACACACACACACACACACACGTACACACACACACACACACACGTACAGAAATGGAAGAGGGGAACTCACATGGATGGTGAAGTGAAGCAAAAGGAGGACAAGAATGGAGATTAGAATGTCTAAACTGAAGGGACAATTCCATTTACTTCAATCGTTTTTGGTTCTCTCCGCCGGAGAAGATTTGCAGGCAAGGGCAAAAGCTTTGCTTATTTTATTACATTTTCTACTATACACCGCCTCGCAACTCGTTCTGGAAAAATTTGCTGTTTGGTTCCGGGTCGGGAGAAGTGATTTTCAGTGGAAAATGTCGAAATCACCCTGCAAAAGGCCAACAATGAATAAAGAAGGGATAAAGGTCATAAATTATTTTCACTTTTCCTAACTATTTTTTTTTTTAATCTATATATATATAATTATATATATATATAATTACTGGCTGATAAGCATTCAATAAAACCTATTAAATTATACCTACGTGGCACTTTCCCGTCAAAAACCGTTACTTTTCAATTTTATTTTTTTATTAATTTATTATAAAAACATGTTTGATTTGTATTAACGTGTTGTTATGTTAATATTGGTCAAAACCTCATTTACTGTGTAGCCGTTACATTTCTCTTTTTTTCTTATTATCTTTTGTACCTTTGAATTTCGAAAATAATTTTTTTTTTTTTTATCAAAAAATTGATTCACTCACAATATTTTATCTATTTATTCTCACTAATTTATGATACTTTTTTTTAGTAACTAAAGTTGTTTTTGATTTTAGTAAAAATTTTCGACAATAGTCCTAACTACATTTAGTAAAATTTACCAATTTTAAGTGGCAACTAGATATTCATACTTCTTTAGCAAGTAGCTTTTGTAAAATCCACGACAAGTAGGTGTATTCGTTTGGAATTTCGAGTGACATTTAAAGGCTATTCGAGATTTGAAATTTTTAAATTAGAGGAATCTTGTGAAATTTTAAATTTGGATGTGAGATTTGTAATGAGTTTTAGTATATGTTTATTTCTTTAGAAATTCCAACAAATCTTATAAAGTTTTAACAAATCTTAATCTCAAATAATTAAATACATCGGGACGAATACCAAATGAATATCTCAAGACTTTTGTAAGTCTTGAGAACTCTAAATTAAATTATACAATAATTTTCAAAGTCTTAAAAATTCTTCAAAATTTTTTAAAAATCTCAATTAAATACACACTTAAATTTAAAATAGCTATTTTGTAAAATCCACAATAATTAATTAAATTTAAATATTTCCCATATTATATACAACACAACAAGTAATTAAATTTAAATATTTCCATTGTATATACAAATCACAAACTCCTTTACATCTCACTGTACAATTCATTCATGTTGTAATAAAATCGTCCCATTAAATGACAAAGAGCAACTTCCGGAGAAAAATCGGCCACCGCCACATAACATAATCCCACGAAATTTATATATATATAATTATTAGCTGATAGCATTTAGTAAAACCTATTTAATTTTACCTATGTGGCAATTTAACTCTTTTCCCTCCAAAAATCGTCACTTTTGATGTATTTAATCTTTCATTTAATTATTAAATAATCAACATTAATCACTTCAAAATTACAAAAATCATTTTAAACTTTTGACTATTGACAGTTGACCATATATGTGTTTACCATATAATGTGATTAGATGTTATAACTGTGGTTAAATAGATAAACACAATTAAAAAAAATAGATATTCCAACTCCTTTAATTGTAAATTTGGCCAGCAAAAGATGAAAGAAAAATAATTAATCATTATATGCATACAAATAACTCACAATACTTATTTGTGCAAATGCACAGGTCGAATACTAGTTTAAATAATCTATATATATATATATATAATTAATAGCTAATAGCATTTAATAAAACCTATTTAATTTTATCTATGTGACAATTTAACTATTTTCCCTCCAAAAATTGTTACTTTTGTTTAATCTCGTTTTGCTTTGTGTTTGATCGTGGTGTGTAGTCTAGTTCGTGTTGTTTGCGTCTAATGTCCGTTTTTTGGTTTGTTTCGGAAATGAAGTCAGGCTAGGCATTGTGCAGTGGTTCTGATTTTCATTTTCGTTTTATTTTCGTTTCTGGAGTTCTCTAGGCCGCCTAG